TCGATAGTCATCATCAGGGATTTGACTTGAAAAAACAATTAACATTTAGTATAAATAAATAAAACAAAACACTATAACGATAATTACATTGGATTTTAACTCTTCTGTTTTTAAGTTCTCTGATGCAGCTTTTCCATCCTTTCCTTTTTACTCGAATTTTCCAACTAATTTTTCTTATGCTTTTCGATGACATTTCTATAAATTTGAGCACAATGTTCCGTGTCAGTTTTGTAGTTCATTCGTTTATTAGGAGGTACATTTATAATATGTAGCATTTCTAACATGTACCTACGTTTGTAGTTATTTTCTTGTGCCAAGATGTCGACATCTTTGAAATTGGGCGTATGTCCTTCTTGTTGGCAATGGGCAGCAAGGGCAGTTTTTTGCTCTATGGGTTTAGTTTTTGTCTTTTGGTCCGATTTATGAGAGCTAATACGAGTTTTTAATTTAGATTTTGTTGTCCCAACATATGCCTTCTGACATACGTTGGACCCGTCCCCATTACATTTAATCTTATAAACGACGTTAGATTTATCCTCGTGTGGAATTTTTGTTTTAGTTCTACTAAAGAAATTATTGTTGGTGTTACTGCTTCTGAATGCCAATTGATACTTCTCACTGTTGTACATGTTTGATGAAGAAAATCTTTCCGAAAACCCTGGTATATATGTAGATCTTTTATATGTCTTTTCCACTAATTTTGTATTTTGGTATGCTCTATTACCCTCGGCGCGTTTAATCAATTCATTAACAATGTTACTAGGGAAGTCATTCATTTTTAAAATCTTTATGATTTTGATTTTGTTCTTTGCATGGAATTTTCTGTCACTTATTTTCAAGACCCTTTGGATAAAGTTTGTGGCCGTGTTGATTTTTATACGTCGCGGATGCTTTGAATGGTAATTAATTATTGACAGTTGATTCAAAATACAACATTAAAGATGCAATAGACTTCAAATCCAGGATTAATAATCAACATATTGAAGATGACGAAATTTTAATTTCATTTGACGTGATTTCCTTGTTCCCAAGCATTCCAGTAAACTTGGCTATTAGTGCTATTAAAGATAGTTGGTCTATTATAAAGGAACATACACATATACCAATGGATCTTTTTATTGACATTTTGACAACATGTATTAAGGACGCTAGATATTTCGCATATAAGGATAAGATATATGAACAACAAAAAGGCATGCCGATGGGCTCACCTATTTCACCAATCATTGCTGATATAATAATGGAGAAACTTCTTGACGAAACTATGAACAAATTGGCTATCAAACCCAGATTCTTGACAAAATATGTGGACGACATATTTTGCATCGTAAAAAAGGAGGAAGTGGAAAATACACTTAAGACGCTGAATATGTACAACAAACAACTACGGTTTACGATGGAGAGTGAATTGAATAATCAGTTACCATATCTAGATAGCTTAGTACAAAGAGAAGGAAAAAAGTTGTTATTAGATTGGTACCAAAAGCCAACAGCCTCGGGTAGATTAATTAATTACCATTCAAAGCATCCGCGACGTATAAAAATCAACACGGCCACAAACTTTATCCAAAGGGTCTTGAAAATAAGTGACAGAAAATTCCTTGCAAAGAACAAAATCAAAATCATAAAGATTTTAAAAATGAATGACTTCCCTAGTAACATTGTTAATGAATTGATTAAACGCGCCGAGGGTAATAGAGCATACCAAAATACAAAATTAGTGGAAAAGACATATAAAAGATCTACATATATACCAGGGTTTTCGGAAAGATTTTCTTCATCAAACATGTACAACAGTGAGAAGTATCAATTGGCATTCAGAAGCAGTAACACCAACAATAATTTCTTTAGTAGAACTAAAACAAAAATTCCACACGAGGATAAATCTAACGTCGTTTATAAGATTAAATGTAATGGGGACGGGTCCAACGTATGTCAGAAGGCATATGTTGGGACAACAAAATCTAAATTAAAAACTCGTATTAGCTCTCATAAATCGGACCAAAAGACAAAAACTAAACCCATAGAGCAAAAAACTGCCCTTGCTGCCCATTGCCAACAAGAAGGACATACGCCCAATTTCAAAGATGTCGACATCTTGGCACAAGAAAATAACTACAAACGTAGGTACATGTTAGAAATGCTACATATTATAAATGTACCTCCTAATAAACGAATGAACTACAAAACTGACACGGAACATTGTGCTCAAATTTATAGAAATGTCATCGAAAAGCATAAGAAAAATTAGTTGGAAAATTCGAGTAAAAAGGAAAGGATGGAAAAGCTGCATCAGAGAACTTAAAAACAGAAGAGTTAAAATCCAATGTAATTATCGTTATAGTGTTTTGTTTTATTTATTTATACTAAATGTTAATTGTTTTTTCAAGTCAAATCCCTGATGATGACTATCGAAGATAGTCGAAATATCGGACAAATAAATTAATATATAAAAAAACAAATTCGTCTGTTTTTTAAATTCTGACCTCGAGCCAAACGAAAAACCAGAAGATAATAATAATTAAATAATTATAAATAGAATCCGTTAAAAATTGTTAGGCAATTTTATGTCACAAGCTGTAGTCCCCTTTTGGGGACTACAATTCCGGAGAGCAATGTAGCTAAAATCATCAAAATACCGAATATATGAGGCTACACGAAGGCGTGGACCAGCACAGACAATTTTCTCTCATAGGCTGTAGTATTCATTATGAACTTCAAATACGAAATTTGAAACATTTCCGGTGAATAATGTCGCTTTAATCACCAAAATACCGAAAATAGGGAGGTACCATTAAATGGGGGCTATACCGCAACGTGTACCTGTATGGCTCATCGACATAGAATTTTATGCTGATCAAGAATATATATATATGTACTTTGTGGGGCCTAAAATATATATTTCGAGGTATTAGAAACTTAATATACCCTCCATACTATAGCGGAGGGTTAAAATATTGATCTTAAGCTCGAAAAACTTTTATTATTATATAATAAACAGTCTGAATATTAGGTATTAATACCTATTAGGGTAAGTGTACCAATAGTCGACACTTTTAGGGTTTTCGCGTTTTCAATCATTCAAACCATTCTGAGTAGAACTTTTCAATTATTACAAAGTTAATTTAATCAGATTCGAAATTTTGTATATTTTTTGTAATAACAAACAAAGTTTAATAACTTTTTTGTTTATGCAAAATGGTCAGGCTTAATCCCATTATTCTTGTTTTCATAAAACCAACGTTTGATTGGTAGATTAAATACATTAATTAGAAGTTTTATTAAAATGTTTTTTTTTTTTTTTTGCCAGCAGTCGGCACCACTTTCTAATTGTCGGTATGACATGTTCCAAGAGTCGGTATACCGAATTTTTATACACTCAGCCATATGGCTACAGAGGGTATATATCATTTGATACCGTCAAAACGTGCCTAGTCGAAAAAAACGGTTTTAGAACCCAGGTCTCTTTGGACCAAATCCGTTTCAGAACATTTGGAGTTGATCTAGTGATGTCCGTCCGTCTGTCTGTGTGTCTGGCTGGCTGGTGCGCACAATAACTCTCGAAGGGAGTATCCGATTTGGTCCAAACTTGGTACATCGTAATATTTTTTTCAAACTTAGATCGAGTTCGGAGATGGACAATATCAGTTACCTCCTTCCTTCTGGTACCTTCTGGTATGTAAGAGTCCGATTGTCTTCAAATTTCACACATCCCATTATTTATATTAACCCCGAGGTCTGATGTTAAGATGGAATATATCGGTCCACTCCTTCTAGTACCTCCCACACAAATGGTCGATATTTCCAAAAAAAAATATAATTTTTTTTTTGCATAGAAAGGGAAACGATAATCCGATTTTGCTCCAACTTTGCAAACCCTAATATTTGCATCAATGCTAGGTCTGGTGCGAAAATTGACAATATCGGTCCACTCCTTTTGGTACCTCTCCCACAAATGGTCGAAATTTTCAAAAAAATTTTTTTTTTTTTGCACAGAAAGGGAAACGATTATCCGATTTTGCCCCAACTTTGCAAATCCAAATATTTGCATCAATGCTAGGTCAGGCGTGAAAATGGACAATATCGGTCCAGTCCTTCTGGTACCTCCCCTACAAAAGGTCGAAATTTTGAATATCCATTAAGCTCATAAAACGCGAAATTAATATCGGATTCCGTTTAGACTTGACACATCTAAAAAAATGGTAGAGATCGGACCATTCCCCCTGGTACCTCCCTCACAAAAGATCAAAGTTTTGAATAACCAAACTTTTATAAAATCCGAAATAAGCGTCATGTTATCTTTATATTTAACACATCCTATTATTTCCACTAACAAAGGATCCGTTGTGAAGGTGGGATATATCGGTCCACTCTTTCTGGTACCTTCCCTACAAAGGCTCAAAATTTTGAATATCCATGAAGCTCATAAAAAGCGAAATTGACATCCGATTCTATTCAAGACTTGGTATATACCAAAATTTCCATTAACATATCACAGTCCAAACCTAGCTCGTAGCTATATTTATATCATATTTATTTAATTCCGATACGAAATGACCAATATTGACCCATTCCTTCGGAACCTTCTGCATAAGGGGTTAAACATTTAAATAATCATAACAGAAGTCAAAATATTTTTCAATAATCGAACATTTGCTGAGGGTATTCATCTGTCGGCAAAACCGACCGATACTTTTTTACTTGTTTGAATATGGATTATCCCGTTCATGCTGAGGACCTTCATAGACAAAAATTTAATTTTTATTAGAATAAATCATCTTTTGTTAGCGATATTGTACACAAATGCCGACTACTGGAACATGCCGAACTTAGACTCACGTACTCTATATTGACTGTACTTCATATGCAAAATCTTGTCATTTCAAAATAATCAATTTCTATCCAGTTGCAAAATGAATTTGATCTTGCAGACTAAGTTTATTTATGGAGCTTAGAAATAAAACTCCCTTGATTTTTATTTATCTATTTTGTTTACTTACTCGATTCAAAAGTGGCTCCATTATTAAATATATATTTTTCTTTTGCTTAAAAAACCACCGAAACACAAAAAACCATTCAAATACATTTTGATTTAATTAAAGACAAATAAAAAATCAACCACAAAAATTCGCCGAAAACAGAGAGAGACACATTGTCAGACAGCGCACATGCTGTTAGGGAGAGGGGTATTGACAGAGGCGGAACTATTTGGCGACGACATTATTTTTATGTTAGAAATTTTTTATAATTGTTTCCAATTGTTGTTAAATAAGGGCCGATATTTGCTAAATTTCCTATTTACTTAGATTTTCGATGTATTTCGGTTTTATGTAATGTCTTTTTAAGAATCCATAGACAGACTGATAGTGGACAAATCCAATGAGGGTATATTCTGCTCTGAAGCATGTTGTCAACAATACAGTGTTGACAATATGCTTGCAAAAATGGCGATTTGCACAAAAGTATTTAGAATTTCGCTAATGAAAATATAAAAGCAGTTCACAATTCCTATTAGTTAATTGGTCTTTTCCAGAATTGCAAGAATGTAAAAGTTTTCACTATGATAACAGATTTCTCATTTATCATATCGGAGAAAATTCCAAAACTAGTAGATTCTGGAACAGGGCAAATACTTCTACCTACATTAAAGGAGACTTTCGATCTGTATAATACTAAAGTAAATGGTAGAACCGTTATGAAAACCTTTTAAACAACTCAAATATGGGTCCCCAACATTTCCTAAATAAGTACATTTAGTATTCAATACAACCAGTAGAGCTCCTGTAACCAAAAAAAGGTTATGTTGGGAATTGTGTAAAAAAATAAATATTAAAAGAGATAATATTTCAATGCCAAAGTCAAACTCGTACATTTCGTATAATTTGAAGTATTTCTACACATTAATATTTTGTATGCATTCCTTTACTTTTTTTACCATTTGTAACCTACTTTTAACAAGTTTTTCGCAAAAGCTAGCTTAAAATTTTTGCCATTCCTCCAACAAAGCATTCTTCAAATCTTCTTTGCAAAAAATGGTATGCTGGCAAATTATCGAAATAGCTCCATAAATTCTCTAGGGGGTTTTGTCTGGTCTCTGGGCTGGTATATCCATGACGCGGGGACAATTATATAGCAACCATTGAAAGCACTTTAAAATCCTTGTGTTTCGGATCATTGTCTTGATAAAAATAATAATTTTCGCCGAGGCCGATGGGCCAACTTTCCTTCAAAAAGTTAAGATCCATAGTCTCATCTATAATACCCTCAATAAAATGCAATACACCAGGTCCAGAGGCAGGAAATGAACCCCACATCATTTATTAACCACCTACCCACCATCGTGCTTCACTGTAGGCTTCACGTTTTTGGCAAGGAGCGCATCATTTGTCTTTCTCCATACATAAGGTCTGCTATCTAAAATAAAAAGGTTGAATGTGCTCGCGTTCGTCAACATCACATTATTCCAAAGTGAAAAATCTTTTGATATGTGCTGCTTGACAAATCGCAATCTTACTTCTTGATTAAGCTTACCTCAATATTTGCGAGCTTCGGTGCACTCAAAAATGGATCCTTTCAGATCTGCCGTAAAATATAGTTCTCATCATGACTTATTTTCTACACATCCATCTGTTTTGAGCCATTTTATGATGTACTGAACTGTAGATCGGCTTATATTAACAATCTCAGATATCTCACCTAGCGATTTATAGATTATAAATTTCTCACTTCAACAGTGGTTTATCCTCGTTGTCTTCCCATTTTTTATTATTTTTTAATATTTACGTCAGCAAATTACACAACACGTGGAAATTTGAGATAAATTAGCTTTTAGGGCAACGTGTACCTGTATGGCTCATCGACATAGAATTTTATGCTGATCAAGAATATATATATATGTACTTTGTGGGGCCTAAAATATATATTTCGAGGTATTAGAAACTTAATATACCCTCCATACTATAGCGGAGGCTTAAAATATTGATCTTAAGCTCGAAAAACTTTTATTATTATATAATAAACAGTCTGAATATTAGGTATTAATACCTATTAGGGTAAGTGTACCAATAGTCGACACTTTTAGGGTTTTCGCGTTTTCAATCATTCAAACCATTCTGAGTAGAACTTTTCAATTATTACAAAGTTAATTTAATCAGATTCGAAATTTTGTATATTTTTTGTAATAACAAACAAAGTTTAATAACTTTTTTGTTTATGCAAAATGGTCAGGCTTAATCCCATTATTCTTGTTTTCATAAAACCAACGTTTGATTGGTAGATTAAATACATTAATTAGAAGTTTTATTAAAATGTTTTTTTTTTTTTTTTTGCCAGCAGTCGGCACCACTTGCTAATTGTCGGTATGACATGTTCCAAGAGTCGGTATACCGAATTTTTATACACTCAGCCATATGGCTACAGAGGGTATATATCATTTGATACCGTCAAAACGTGCCTAGTCGAAAAAACGGTTTTAGAACCCAGGTCTCTTTGGACCAAATCCGTTTCAGAACATTTGGAGTTGATCTAGTGATGTCCGTCCGTCTGTCTGTGTGTCTGGCTGGCTGGTGCGCACAATAACTCTCGAAGGGAGTATCCGATTTGGTCCAAACTTGGTACATCGTAATATTTTTTTCAAACTTAGATCGAGTTCGGAGATGGACAATATCAGTTACCTCCTTCCTTCTGGTACCTTCTGGTATGTAAGAGTCCGATTGTCTTCAAATTTCACACATCCCATTATTTATATTAACCCCGAGGTCTGATGTTAAGATGGAATATATCGGTCCACTCCTTCTAGTACCTCCCACACAAATGGTCGAAATTTCCAAAAAAAAATATAATTTTTTTTTTTGCATAGAAAGGGAAACGATAATCCGATTTTGCTCCAACTTTGCAAACCCTAATATTTGCATCAATGCTAGGTCTGGTGCGAAAATTGACAATATCGGTCCACTCCTTTTGGTACCTCTCCCACAAATGGTCGAAATTTTCAAAAAAATTTTTTTTTTTTTGCACAGAAAGGGAAACGATTATTCGATTTTGCCCCAACTTTGCAAATCCAAATATTTGCATCAATGCTAGGTCAGGCGTGAAAATGGACAATATCGGTCCAGTCCTTCTGGTACCTCCCCTACAAAAGGTCGAAATTTTGAATATCCATTAAGCTCATAAAACGCGAAATTAATATCGGATTCCGTTTAGACTTGACACATCTAAAAAAATGGTAGAGATCGGACCATTCCCCCTGGTACCTCCCTCACAAAAGATCAAAGTTTTGAATAACCAAACTTTTATAAAATCCGAAATAAGCGTCATGTTATCTTTATATTTAACACATCCTATTATTTCCACTAACAAAGGATCCGTTGTGAAGGTGGGATATATCGGTCCACTCTTTCTGGTACCTTCCCTACAAAGGCTCAAAATTTTGAATATCCATGAAGCTCATAAAAAGCGAAATTGACATCCGATTCTATTCAAGACTTGGTATATACCAAAATTTCCATTAACATATCACAGTCCAAACCTAGCTCGTAGCTATATTTATATCATATTTATTTAATTCCGATACGAAATGACCAATATTGACCCATTCCTTCGGAACCTTCTGCATAAGGGGTTAAACATTTAAATAATCATAACAGAAGTCAAAATATTTTTCAATAATCGAACATTTGCTGAGGGTATTCATCTGTCGGCAAAACCGACCGATACTTTTTTACTTGTTTGAATATGGATTATCCCGTTCATGCTGAGGACCTTCATAGACAAAAATTTAATTTTTATTAGAATAAATCATCTTTTGTTAGCGATATTGTACACAAATGCCGACTACTGGAACATGCCGAACTTAGACTCACGTACTCTATATTGACTGTACTTCATATGCAAAATCTTGTCATTTCAAAATAATCAATTTCTATCCAGTTGCAAAATGAATTTGATCTTGCAGACTAAGTTTATTTATGGAGCTTAGAAATAAAACTCCCTTGATTTTTATTTATCTATTTTGTTTACTTACTCGATTCAAAAGTGGCTCCATTATTAAATATATATTTTTCTTTTGCTTAAAAAACCACCGAAACACAAAAAACCATTCAAATACATTTTGATTTAATTAAAGACAAATAAAAAATCAACCACAAAAATTCGCCGAAAACAGAGAGAGACACATTGTCAGACAGCGCACATGCTGTTAGGGAGAGGGGTATTGACAGAGGCGGAACTATTTGGCGACGACATTATTTTTATGTTAGAAATTTTTTATAATTGTTTCCAATTGTTGTTAAATAAGGGCCGATATCTGCTAAATTTCCTATTTACTTAGATTTTCGATGTATTTCGGTTTTATGTAATGTCTTTTTAAGAATCCATAGACAGACTGATAGTGGACAAATCCAATGAGGGTATATTCTGCTCTGAAGCATGTTGTCAACAATACAGTGTTGACAATATGCTTGCAAAAATGGCGATTTGCACAAAAGTATTTAGAATTTCGCTAATGAAAATATAAAAGCAGTTCACAATTCCTATTAGTTAATTGGTCTTTTCCAGAATTGCAAGAATGTAAAAGTTTTCACTATGATAACAGATTTCTCATTTATCATATCGGAGAAAATTCCAAAACTAGTAGATTCTGGAACAGGGCAAATACTTCTACCTACATTAAAGGAGACTTTCGATCTGTATAATACTAAAGTAAATGGTAGAACCGTTATGAAAACCTTTTAAACAACTCAAATATGGGTCCCCAACATTTCCTAAATAAGTACATTTAGTATTCAATACAACCAGTAGAGCTCCTGTAACCAAAAAAAGGTTATGTTGGGAATTGTGTAAAAAAATAAATATTAAAAGAGATAATATTTCAATGCCAAAGTCAAACTCGTACATTTCGTATAATTTGAAGTATTTCTACACATTAATATTTTGTATGCATTCCTTTACTTTTTTTACCATTTGTAACCTACTTTTAACAAGTTTTTCGCAAAAGCTAGCTTAAAATTTTTGCCATTCCTCCAACAAAGCATTCTTCAAATCTTCTTTGCAAAAAATGGTATGCTGGCAAATTATCGAAATAGCTCCATAAATTCTCTAGGGGGTTTTGTCTGGTCTCTGGGCTGGTATATCCATGACGCGGGGACAATTATATAGCAACCATTGAAAGCACTTTAAAATCCTTGTGTTTCGGATCATTGTCTTGATAAAAATAATAATTTTCGCCGAGGCCGATGGGCCAACTTTCCTTCAAAAAGTTAAGATCCATAGTCTCATCCATAATACCCTCAATAAAATGCAATACACCAGGTCCAGAGGCAGGAAATGAACCCCACATCATTTATTAACCACCTACCCAC